CTGCAGCTTAAACACTCTACCATTGGAATTTTTATGCTGATTTATGTATTTTTTAATGTGTCTGTACTTCTCCTTAAAGTGTGATATTGAGGGCAGGAACAGCCTTTAATCCTTTTCTTTCTTTCTTTTTTTTTTTTGAGATGGAGTTTTGCTCAGTTGCCTGGACCGGAGTGTAATGGCGCGATCTCGGCTCACTGCAACCTCTGGCTCCTGGGCCTCCCGGGTTCAAGTGATTCTCCCACCTCAGTCTCCTGAGTAGCTAGGATTACAGGCACCCGCCATCATGCCCAGCTAATTTTTGTATTTTTAGTAGAGACAGGGTTTCACCATGTTGGCCAGGCTGGTCTTGAACTCCTGACCTCAGATGATCCACCCTCCTGAAGTTCTGGGATTACAGGTGTGAGTCACCGCACCCTGCCAGCCTTTAATCATTTTCTTAGAAGATGCTCAGATGCAGCTGCATTGCCAGACCTGGTCATGCATTTGAAAGCAATAGGATGTGTTCTCCTAATATACCTCTGAAACTGGTCCAGTTGTCCCATAGAACTGATATTTATGGCTTCTTTTGAATAAACATGGAAATTGACCCTCCCAGTTTTGAAACTTGAGGAAGTTACATTTATCTTTTCTCAGTTTCTTTCTCTGGCATCCAACCATCAGGCCTCCTAGATAGTGTCAATAAACTGAAACTTACCAGATCACTGCATCTAAACAATAAGACATCAGACCTCTCACCTACCATGATTGCCTAAGTGACTACCTGCTTCCTGTTGAACAGCTCCTCTTCCTTACCCCTCCCTAATTCCTGTTTTCCTGTATGTAGTTAAATTTCTTCCCTGCTATATAATCCCCTAATTTTAGCCAGTCAGGGAGATGGATTTGAGACTGATCTCCCATCTCCTTGGCTGCAGCACCCAATTAAAGCCTTCTTAACTGGCAACACTTGTGTCAGTGATTGGCTTTCTGTGTGGCAAGCAGCAGAACCTAGACCTAACCCTTGGTGTTTTGGTAACAAATTGATAGGGTGAAAAAAATGCTGGTTCGTCAGTCAAGGTTTCGTCAAGGAAGCAGAACCACTGTGAATCCTATGGTATAGGGGATTTATCGAAATCTAATGCCATTGGGGGAGGAGCTAGGAAAATAATGTCCAGGGAAAGGGAGTTGGAGGATCTGAGAAAGGTTACTAATCAGCCTTCCAAAAGCATTGGTGCTGCTGGACAAGTCAGAGCTTTTAGGGAAAACTGGACAGGCACATATAGCTGCCAAGGGACTGCACAGGGGAGTTAGTGGAGAAATCTGTGGAAGGCCCTTGCCCTGTTAGGTGTACTATGGCTATGCCGGCAGTGGAAGAAGAATTGAGTGCCAAACAGGGGCGAGGGAGAACAGGCTGGAACCCTTTGGCATCCCTGCATCCATCTCTCACTGCAGCTTTTCTTTTCTTTGTTCTTTTTTTTTTTTTTTTTGAGATGGAGTCTCGCTCTGTCATCCAGGCTGGAGTGCAGTGGCGCAATCTTGGCTCACTGCAACCTCCACCTTCCAGGTTCAAGCTGGGATTACAGGTGCCTGTCACCATGCCCGGCTAATTTTTGTGCTTTTTAGTAGAGACGGAGTTTTGCCATACTGGCTAGGCTAGTCTCAAACTCCTGACCTCGGGTGATTTGTCCGTCTCAGCCTCCCAAAGTGCTGGAATTACTGGCATGAGCAACCGTGTCCAGCCCTCTCACTGCATGTTACCCCGATGACTTTCAGAGAATAGTGGCTGCTGCTTTGTTTGTCTTCCAAATCTCACACAAATTTCTTCTTTGGCTAACTCTAACCCAGACCCATGTAGGAAAGGGGCTCCTTAAAAGCGTAATTCCTGCTGAGTTGAGTTGGCACAGAGCAAAATGACCCAGCTGGTAAATACCGCTTACCTAAAAAGCTGCTACCTATGTATTTTTTTTCCAAGACCTACTATTTTATCCATTTTTAATGGACACATTGAATCGTGTTATTTCTATACACTCAATGTGGTACCGTCTCTAATTGCCATAAAGAGAAAGACAATTAGAGACCAAAGACTTTTGCTAGAATCATATTTCTAATTCAGTAGTAGAGACAGAAGTGAAGATTATTTTCAGAGAATAATTTCTTTACTTTCTGTTCTTTTTGATATGATGAGGATTCTTGTAATGCAGTTTCCCACATGTTTTCCACAAGTTTAGTTCACGAATATCTAAGGATACTATCCTGTTTGTATGGCAAGTGCCATGGATATTAGAGTTAATGACATGACTCTAATCATTAGACTTCGATTATTTGAGCCGGGATGTAGTAGTGTTTTACACTCCATTTGTGTATTGATTTTGTATGTTTATGCATGCAGCTATTGAAATGTTTTAAATTATGTGCATTTTAAGTCAGTCTGTTACTTTATGAGCTACTAGAAAGCACAGTTTCCTTGTTTGTGTCAATGTCATCATTCCTGTAGGCACCGGACTGAAAAATATATTGTCCTCTTCAATTTATTCCTCTCTTTCATTCTTCATACTCAGTAAGTGATTTATGTCTTTTATTTATTATTATTATTTTTTGAGACAGAGTCTTGCTCTGTCACCCAGGCTGGAGTGTAGTGGCGTGATCTCGGCTCACTGCAACCTCCACCTCCCAGGTTCAAGCGATTCCCCTGCCTCAGCCTCCCAAGTAGCTGGGACTACAGGCACACGGCACCATGCCCAGCTAATTTTTGTAATTTTGGTAGAGATGGGATTTCATTATATTGGTCAGGCTGGTCTTGAACTCCTGACCTCAGGTGATCCGCCTGTCTTGGCCTCCCAAAGTGCTGGGCTTACAGACGTTGGCCACCATGTCCCGCTGGTATAGATATTTAAAAAATAAGAAAGTTAGTTTCTGGGTCACAGGAAACTCATGTTTATGTTACCTAACAAAGGCCTGAAGTGGAAATACTTCATGTTGTTGAGTAAACTGAGAGGTATAGGCTTTATATATCAGCCCTTAGTCATTATTTTTCTGCTAAAACATGATCGTCAGGAAATACCCAGAGCAGTACCCTGACTCCATTCTCTTCTCATTTTGGTCCACCCTACGCAGAACCTTCAGAATCATCTATCTCAAATACTCTCTGAGTATGGTAAAGACTGTAGAAGGAACTCTACTGCATATTTCAGCCTAAACTCCCAATTGGGCTACATGCTACCTTTCACAGCTGATCCCTCTACCTTGTCAACTTCTTCCAATCACATTGGTTGCGTTCACTCACTGTTCCACAAAAGACTGCAGCCGGATCAAGTCTTCGTTCCATATGCTTTCATCTTGACTTACCAATGGGATTGCAAGATCTTTGAGGGAAAGGATTTATGTCTTTTAAAATTTATTTCTTTTCCTCTCAGGACCTCATGCGAAGCATATGGTAAATAGTTAGTGACTGCTGCTTAACTCAGTTTATCCTGACCAATACTTAGAACAGCACCAGCCACAATTAGGTATTTAATAAGGATATTTTGGATTGAGACAAGGATCCTCTCAGAGTCAGAAATTATCTTGGCATGTCTTTTTTTTTTTTTTTTTTTCTTCATTGGGTCTCTGTGACTGTAGTCAGTGACTTGGTGTGTCTTTTGTAATGACAACATTAATAATAAAGCCTTCAGATGACATGGTATAATGGAGTTCAAAAGGTCTAAGTCTGAATGCCAGCCCTGTCACTTATTAACTGTGTGACCCTGGGCTGGGCACTGTGAACTACAGTTTCCTTGTAAAAGAATGATGACCACGAGGGCCTTAGAGTGGTTGTAAGGATTAAGTTATATGCCAAAAGTAAATTATCTAGCACAGCAAATGGCTGTAATAGATTTTCAATAAATGGTTTTTTTTTTTCCCTTTTTTTTTGAGCCTGAGTTTTGTTTCATTTTGTCACCCAGGCTGGAGTGCAGTAGTTCAACCTCTGCAAGTGCAACCTCTGCCTCTCAGGCTAAAGTGATTCTCCTGCCTCACCTTTGGAGTAGCTTGGATTACAGGCATGTGCCACCACGCCTGGCTAATTTTGTATTTTTATTAGACATGGGGTTTTGCCATGTGGCCAGGCTGGTCTCAAACTCCTGACCCCAGGTCATCCCCCCGCTTTGGCCTCCCAAAGTGCTGGGATTACACGCGTGAGTGACCATGCCCAGCCCAATAAATGTTTTTATTACAGAAAATTTAAAATCTCTATCACTTTTTATTTTATTGATTTTCTATTTGCTTCTTTACCTGGATCAGAAAGATAATTTCAAATTTCTTTGGAGGTTAGGTATTTTCTGATAATGAGAAGTTGGTAGACATCGTATTAACAGAGATGATTTTAAAAATATTTTTGGCAATTAACTGGACTATAAGAAAACAATACTAAACAAGCCAAATTACTCTTAGCTAAGGCTTGGAAATCTGGATAAAGAGGAAGAAGAGAAGGTAGAGAGAGTCCTTAGATTAGTAGCATGACCTACTAACTCTTCTTTTAGCACCCATGGTGCTAAAAGGAAGTCCCGCCAAAGCACTTCTGCCTTGGTTAGAGAATGTTCCAGTGTTGGGTTATGAACCTCCATGGCAGAGCCACAGCACTGACTCTCTGACCAGCTGGAATTTGCTGCAGGATGGGTATGGCCGAAAGGAGACCACTGGGAATTAACCAGGAGTAAGAACATCAAGACTGATCTTTATTTCACCCAGAGGCAGAGTGATAAAATGGCATTCTTCTCTATTTAAATTCTATCCCATCTTTCTTCTTGTCCTTCCTCTCAAGGTTGCTGGCAGAGGTGGTTGGGGCTATGTGCCTGGAGTGAAGATTCTGCCCATTGGTCAAGAGACCTCCCTCTCAGATGCTGGCTCTGCCCCTGGCTTTGGGGGTCGACCCTTGTACTCGCAGGACCTTAGGTGACTCTGTAAGTATAGTAAAATGCAGTTAATCTGATGTTATCATTCAATCTTTTTTAAAAAGTGGAGCAACCAGTTGACAAGGTAAGACTTTTTCCTGACATCTGTGGTTGTTTATTTAAAAGAACAGACAATATTTAAAATGAAAGACAAACTCAGAGGTTCAAATGCATCCAAAAAGTTGAAGCAGCAGTGACATATACATCCAAAGATGATTGTAGCTATTTAAAGCCATATCTTGTTTCTCTGGGCAAAAAGACAACATTGGTTATAAAGCATATACCTTCTTCGCAGTATAAGGCAATGAAAGATAATCCTATTATTCTCTTTCTCAAAAGTCAATGGTCTTCAAAGTCATAGCAAAAAGATTATAAAATGAGACTAGAGAATAATTTCCTCCTAAAATTTCTGAACAAACTTTGCATCACATTCCATAATATTCCCTTGTCAATTATTTAAAAAGGTTTCTTAGCAAGCGTGCTTCTGTGTTGCTCCCTCTGCTTTTCATCCTTATCATTAAGCTCGGAGCTTCTGTAAACTAAGAATTACTCAATCTAGGTTCAGCAAAAATAAACAGAGTACTCCTCTATGAAAGCCTGTTGCAAAGTGTAGTTAATGAGTACACAGAAGTTATTGACTTGGGAGAATCACTCTCACTCAGAAAGGGAAGTGGGAGTACTTATTTGATATAACTAGCCCATTTTGGGAACAGAAAGTCAATTAATTTATGTCCCCCCTTTCCTCCCTTTGGCCAACCTGTCTTTCTTCCTTGTTACTTCTCTTTGACATCTGGAAGTTTTTCTTCTTTCTATTCCATTAATAAGTTCACCATTTAATCTCTTGATTTCCCTTATTTTCACACACATTCAAAGACCAGGTGCCACAGTTTATTAAGAATGTCAAGAATCTTTGTATGAAAATTCATGACATATGTTGCAAGGTACATAATTGTTATCAGAGAAGCCAACTGCAGCAGGCCATAAGGCACATTAGTTTGTTCACTTACTGTGCTAGTTTAGAAAACTTGGGGAGAAGATTCAGAAAAGATTCAGAATTGTGGCACACAATTTTATGCAGTCCACAGAGACTGATGGTGTCTCCACCGAGAGTCTCACCACTTCTCTTTAGATTGTTCTGAAGCTGCACAGTTTTTGGTGCATTATATCAGGATATTTTCATTTGGACAATGGAGAGAGGGATATTGATACTTTAATAAAGTATTAAAGAAATACCCATAGCTGCATACATTAATAAAGGGCATCAGCAAGATTGAAATCATAAGATTCTTTCATTTTTGTGGTTGGGTTATTTTCACTAACTGACTTCCAGGGGCGTCCAGGACATTTGGGGGAGGTTGTGTCTGGAAAATCTGATATCGGGTTAAATGAAAGCCCATTTGGGTCTATCAGGATGTCAGGGATCCAATCGTCATCACTCTCTGTGGGAGTTGGTGGTATAGCAGACATCATAGTTACAATGAGATCAGAGTCCTGAAAGTCAGGAAAAGTATCTGCTACACCTGGCTGGGCTAGGGAAGGGATGGGTGTTGGCCCTTCTGTCTTCTCTTGTATCTGTGCAGAAGGTGTGGTACTGTCTTCAGAAGAGCTTGCCAAATGCTCTGTTTTCCAACCATTGTGCTTTCCATTCTTTTTGCCTTTATTTTTATGTTTTCCATGGCCATGACCACGCTTATGCTTATGTCCATGGTCAAGGACATGGCCCCCTTGGTGTTCAAGATCATCATCAAGTTTGAACTTATGTCCATGACCAAGACCATGCTGTTGTTGGTGTCCCCGGCCGAGGCCATGTCCCCTTTGATGCCCATGCCCTTGGTCACGTTCACGTTTATGGCCATGGCCGAGATTATATTTTCTTTGTTTTTCATGGCCCCAGTCATGTCTATGAGTATGCCCTTGTTCTTTTCCTGACTCCTGCTCTTCATCTTGTGCAGGTACCATGGAAGTGTAGGGTGGACTTACAGTTGTTTCTTCTTTTATTTCCCCTACTTGTATTGATCGGAAAGGTGAAAAACCTGGAGGCCTTTTCATCAATGAGACCTAAACAGAAAATATTAAGATGAAAGTATTACTGCAAAAATCATGCTATCAATGAAGGAAAGAAACACTGAGATCTGGCAGTGCTATCTTAGTTTACAATGGGGGAGGTGTTTTCCAGAGTTTAAATACTGTACTGATATTCCAGAAAGGATGAATAATATTTTTTTGTCTTTTGATTGACCTTAAAATTTGTGGACATTGATTATTGTTCTTAATAATACTGTAAAATGGCCAGGCACGGTGGCTCATGCTTGTAATCTAAGCACTTTGGGAGGCCAAGGTGGGCAGATCACTTGAGGTCAGGAGTTTGAGACCAGCCTGGCCAACATAGTGAAACTCTAACTCTACTAAAAATACAAAAATTAGCTGAGTGTGGTGGCACATGCCTGTAATCTCAGCTACTCAGGAGGTTGAGGTAGGAGAATCACTTGAACCCAGTACGTGGAGGTTGCGGTGGGCTGAGATGGCACCACTGCACTCCAGCCTAGGTGACAGTGACTCTGTCAAAAAAAAAAAACCCAAGACAAACCAAAACAAACAAATAAACAAAAACCAAACAACAAAAAACACTGTAAAATTAGCTGAGCATTTTTTCTTCATCTGGAAAAATTGGGTGGTTAAGCTAGCTAATCTCTAGGGTATCTTCTTTTTTTTTTTTTTTTGAGATAGAGTCTCACTCTGTCGCCCAGGCTGGAGTGCAGTGGCGCGATCTCGGCTCACTGCAAGCTCCGCCTCCCGGGTTCATGCCGTTCTCCTGCCTCAGCCTCCCAAGGAGCTGGGACTACAGGTGCCCACCACCACGCCTGGCTAATTTTTTTGTAGTTTTTAGTAGAGACGGGGTTTCACCGTGTTAGCCAGGATGGTCTCGATCTCCTGACCTCGTGATCCGCCCGTCTCGGCCTCCCAAAGTGCTGGGATTACAGGCTTGAGCCACCGCACCCGGCCATCTCTAGGGTATCTTCTAGGCCTATGTTTATGCAAGCACAGTATTTAATTGTTGATACTACTGTTATTACCACCATCACTGCTTTTAGCCTAAAAGGCCCTGAGTGGCTTTATGAACTGAATATATAGGGAGCATGTATCCATTATCACTTTGTTGTGCTGAAGTACACTGAGACATATTTGCAAACTTGAAATGCAGCCTTAGTACCATGTTTGTGTTAGACTATCTACATACCTACACACGACAAAAGACCAAATCAGAAAAGAGGGAGAAGAGGCAACTTGCATCAAAGAAGTCAATTTGTGGATTGATTCTACCTACACTTTTGCTACCTGTGAGAATGTGTTAATTGGAGGCAGTGTTTGGTGATGCAAAGAACATGGTCATTGCAGTCAAGCCAGACCCTACTGGTAATCAGCATCGTGATGAAAAGGGTAGACTCTGAATTGACCAAGATTTGAATCCAAGTGCCACCAGCTTCACTTTTGTCTTCTGTAAAATAGAAATAATAACAGCACCTGCCTCACAGAGTTATAAGGAGGAAAATGTGGGTGGAGCCTTCAGTATAGTGCCTGGGACAGAGGAAGCATTTGATAATGTCATTATTCACTCAGGACCTCAGAGTCTTTCTAATTTTTAGTGTCTCATCCTTGACAATAAGGAAAGTGTTACTATGTCCCAGAGTTCTTTTAAGACTTAAAATAGAAAAATGACATCAAGAATGCTTCTCAAACTTGATTCATGCATGTGAATACCCCGGGGATCTCGTTAAAATTCGGTAGCTGTGAAGTGGGGTTTGCAAGTCTGAATTTTTCTTTTCTTTTCTTTCTCTCTTTTTTTTTTTTTGAGACACAGTTTCGCTCTTTGTTGCCCAGGCTGGAGTGCAGTGGCAGGATCTCGGCTCACTGCAACCTCCACCTCCTGGGTTCAAGGGATTCTCCTGCCTCAGCCTCCCGAGTAGCTGGGATTACAGGCGTGCACCACCACACCCGGCTAATTTTTGTAGTTTTAGTAGAGACGGAGTTTTCACCATGTTGGCCAGATTAGTCCTGAACTCCTGACCTCAGGTGATCTGCCTGCCTTGGCCTCCCAAAGTGCTGGGATTACAGGAATGAGCCACCACTCCCGGCCATGCATTTTTCACATGGTCCTTGCATGTCAGCAGAATGCAGTGGAGTGCTGTATCTGGCCTCAGGTACACCTGGCATAGCCAATGATGCTCCCTTACAGCAGGACTGCAAGGCACTCGGAGAGAGTCTATAGAAGCTTCACTGAGACACTGACAATGTGTGAGAAGTGATCAGGAGGATTGTTACTCTCCTTTCTAGCCATTAAACAGACATCAGCACAGAAGTGTGAGAGTTACTCCCCATTTAAAAAGATAGCTCCCCAATTCATTTCAGTAATGGTTCATTTTCAACCCCCAAATATGGATTTTCAGAATGAGCAGAGCCGCCCCCACGCTGACTGTAATGAGAATCATACCATTCCCAGCGGTTGACAGTTGACAGTAGGGTAAATTTTTTTCTCCCAGGGCACCACATAAACTTCAGCATTGCAATCTAGGCTTTGCTATCCATAAAAACAGAAGTCAAAAGAGAGACAGTGTTATTCATGAGATACTTGAACAAATGATTCAAAAACATCCAATAGGCTTCCAGTGAAAAAGTAGACAGGTACATGACTACTCACACCAAGTTTTTTGGTCTCACAGCTTTCGGTCAACTCTTCATTACTTTCCTTGGAACATGTGGTTTCCCTGGCCACAAAGTCAATAAAATATTTCTTGCCAGCCACCACCTGAAAAATTAATTAGTACAAAGTAAACACTAAAAATATTTGCATAATAAATCATTTATCTTCAAGAAATTTTAAGGGAGAATCTTGAAATTTTAATTGACCAACTTAGAGAGTTACATTAAAAAAGTACAAATGTTTGGCATTAAATCTTGGCATGCATATTTAAAATATTTGGCTGTCGGTTGCTCCCATTTCCTTTTCTAAATGGGGGAAGAAATAAGCAAGCTATAATTTTTTGTTTTTCTTTTTTTGAGACAGTTTGACTTTTGTTACCCAGGCTGGAGTGCAGTGGCATGATCTTGGCTCACCGCAACCTCTACCTCCTGGATTCAAGCAATTCTCCTGCCTCAGCCTCCTGAGTAGCTGGGATTATAGTGCCTGCCACCACGCCTGGCTAATTTTGTATTTTTAGTAGAGATGGGGTTTCTCCATGTTGGTCAGGCTGGTCTCGAACTCCCGACCTCAGGTGATCCACCCGCCTCGGCCTCCCAAAGTGCTGGGATTACAGGCATGAGCCACCATGCCTGGCCTATAATCTTTATTTATTTATGTATTTATTTGAGTTTTATTGTCCAACAGCTGTTAAATTCACTAGTAATTCAAGGGCTCAAGTTGTAATATCTAAGAATCTAACAGGAATAGGAAGAAAAACTTAAAATGTTTTTAAACATGTCTTATTGTCCTGCCAAATCTTGAATTGGTAAAATACTGAGTTAGTACTATTATAGAAATTATGTGGATTAAATTTTGTAATTAGAAAAATTATTTGGGGTTTTTATTGTTCTCTTACTATTTTTAATATTAAGAAATTATTTTAGGCTGGGCGTGGTGGTTCGTGCCTGTAATTCCAGCACTTTGGGAGGCTGAGGCAGGTGGATCACTTAAAGCAGGCTATTCAAGACCAGCCTGACCAACATGGTGAAACCCCACCTCTACTAAAAATATGAAAATTAGATGGGCATCGTGGTGCACACCTGTAATCCCAGCTATTTGACAGGCTGAGGCAGGGGAGTTACTTGAACCCAGGAGGCAGAGGTTGCGGTAAGCCGAGATCATGCCACTGCACTCCAACCTGGGTGACAGAGTGAGACTCCTTCTCAAAAAGAAAAAAATTATTTTAATCTCTAGCAACAGTTTTAATCACTACTCAATGCTATCTTCCATTAAATATTTTATGGCCCAATTTCTCAACCAAATTATTTAGTATTAAGTTGTAGTATTTAAACAGTGACTCCTGCCTGTAATCCCAAGCACCTTGGGGGCCTGAGGCGTGTAGATCACCTGAGGTCAGGGGTTTGAGACCATCCTGGCCAACATATAGTGAATCCCTGTTTCTACTAAAAATACTAAAACTTAGCCAGGCATGGTGGCAGGCATCTGTAATCTTGGCTACTTGGGAGGCTGAGGCAGGAGAATTGCTTGAACCTGGGTGGCGGAGGTTACAGTGAGCCAAGATTGTGCCACTATACTCCAGCCTGGGTGACAGAGTGAGACTCTGTTTCGGGAAACAAAACAAAACAAAAGCAAACAAACAACAAAAACACAACTAAACTAAAACAAATAAATAAATATTCACCAAAACTCAGTATGAGGAAGACCTTTCTTAGATGAAAAGCAGAGGAAAGAAATCTAAAGGAAGGGAAAATATTAAAACTTGACTAGAGAAAAATGAGAACTGCTTCTGAAAAATCACAATAAGCAAAATAGAAAGGCAAGCTGGGAAAACTATGATATAGAATCAATATCTGTATGCCTATAAAGCCCAACACTAAAAAATGGACAAAAGCCATGAGCAGGTATTTCAGAGAAGAAGTTAAAATGGTCATTAAGCCTGAAAAAAAGTTTAACTTCATTAATAAACAAAAACATGCACATTAAAAAAGCAATGAGACATCATTGTTAGCCTTCCATGCAGGCAAAGATAAAAACAAAAATTGATGATACGTGGCATTGGCCAGGCATAGGAATCAAGCAGCCTCAGTCACTGCTGGTAGGAAGAGAATTTAAATTAAGATCCTCAACTGGTGTCTTTTTGCTTTTATTTTTTGAGACGGAGTCTCGCTCTGTCATCCAGGCTGGAGTGCGGTGACACGATCTTGGCTCACTGCAACCTCCGCCTCCTGAGTTCAAGTGATTCTCCTGCCTCAACCCCCGCAAGTAGCTGAGATTACAGGCAAGTGCCACCATGACCAGCTAATTTTTGTATTTTTTGTAGAATGTAGAATGTATTTTTTGTAGAATGTTGGCCAGACTGGTCCCAAACTCCTGACCTCAGGTGATCCGCCTGCCTCTGCCCCCAAAAGTGCTGGGATTACAGGCGTGAGCTACCACACCTGGCCTCAACTGGTGTCTTATACCCAGGTAATGTGAGTGTAAATTGGCATCATTGCAAATATTTAGTGATTTTGGCGATTTGCATCAAATCTTAGATATATACGTATTCTTTGACATTTCTAGGACTTTGTCAAAGGAAAAATTTCTGCATGTGCACACACAGACCTTGGAAGTTTATTCATCTCAGCAGAGGCAGACAGGAGCATCAACAGCCTTGGGGACAGCAGCAGTGGTGGCAGGGCAAAATAAAACGTATATGAAACTGCAGTCACTAACGTATGAAAATGGAAGATTCAGGAAGTGTTTGGTATCTGAAATGTGAACCCAACATGGAATCACATGCATCCAAACAGGACTAAATGTGCAAACCCAGGGCAAGATTAAAACTATAAAATATATATTTAGCAATTTGGCAAATTGGTCATTTGGAGACTAGCTTTTAGCAAATTCATCATATGTTTAATTGATTTCCAGTCAATTGGCTGCTTCTACCAAGGCTGCCTTGGGTGACTATGTCCAAGCAGCCAAATTGCTCTCTTTAAATGCAAAAATCAGTTAAGATTCATCTCTCTAAAGTAAGTTTGAAATTCTCACAATATTCAGATTCACTTGGCAACTAACTGATGAGTTACCTCTTTGTGTCTCCCTGGCATCCTTAATGTAGACACACACACATACTAGAATGTTGATTTGTTAATCTGCAGAAAAAACTGTAACTACTAAGAAGACTAGATATTCATGCTTGAGAATGAGTGGTTTTGTTTTTGATGGCAAACCTCTGACATACAATACGTGGTGGCCTATTCCTACAACATTCAGAATAGAGAATAAGGGAGCTGGGAGCAGTGGTGTGCGCCTGTAATCCTAGCTACTTGGGAGGTTGAGATGGACACATTGCTTGCTCCCAGGAGTTCGAGTCCAGCCTGGGCATCACAGTGAGACCCCCATCTCTCTCTCACACTCTCTCTCTTTTTTTGTTTGCTCTGTTGCCCAAAGGGTCTTGCTCTGTCACCTAGGCTGGAGTGCAGTAGCATGATCACAGCTCACTGCAGTCTTGACCTCCCAGTCTCAAGCAATCCTCCCACTTCAGCTTCCCAAAGTAGTTGGGACTACAAGCACATACCACCATACCCAGCTAATTTTTTAATTCTTTTTTTTTTTTAATTATTTTTTGAGATGGAGTTTCACTCTTGTCGCCCAGGCTAGAGTGCAATGGCGTGATCTCGGCTCACTTCACCTCCGCTTCCCGAGTTCATGTGATTCTCCTGCCTCAGCCTCCCAAGTAGCTGGGATTATAGGCACCCACCACCATGCCCAGCTGATGTTTGTATTTTTAGTAGAGATGGTTTTTCATCATGTTGGTCAGGCTGGTCTCGAACTCCTGATCTCAGGTGATTCACCTGCCTCGGCCTCCCAAAGTGCTGGGATTACAGGCATGAGCCACTACGTCTGGCCTTTAATTCTTTTCTTGTAGAGACAGGGTCTTGCTATGTTGCTCAGGCTGGTCTCACTCCTGGGCTCAAGTGATCCTCCTGTCTTAACCTCCCAAAGTACTGGGATCACAGGCATGAGCTACCATGTCTGGCCCCTGTCTCTCTTAAAAAACAACAATGAAAAAAACAAAAAAAGAATTTCACAAAAAAGCAAAAATACAAAGTGAGAATTAAAGCTGACAAGAGCATGAATAGCATAGATTGGCATTCCTTTCAAGTAAACCTGACACGGTCATGTGGCAATGAAATCCGAGAGAGAGGGTGGTCATGTCTGGGATAGAAACCAGTGCTCAAGTAGCAGAGAGATCAAAGTGTCAGTATTGATTTACTTTAATCTAGTTTGTTTACTTTTTTCAGTTACAAAAGTAACACAGAAAATTAGAAAGTTTAAAGTAGCCTGTTATTCCATTATCTAAAAATCTCCCCTATGACTATGAGACATTCGTTTTTTTGTTTGTTTCCAGACAGAGTCTGACTCTGTCGCCCAGGCTGAAGTGCAGTGGCACGATCTAGGCCCACTGCAACCTCCGCCTCCTGGGTCCAAGCCATTCTTGTGCCTTAGCCTCCTGAGTAGCTGGGATTGCAGGTGTGTACCATCACACCCTGCTAATTTTGGAATTTTTATTAGGTTGATGCAAAAGTAATTGTGATTTTGCCATTACTTTGGCAAAAACCACAACTACTTTTGCACCAACCTAATAGTGTAGATGGAGTTGCACCATGTTGCCCAGGCTGGTCTCAAACTCCTGACCTCAAGCAACCCACCCACTTCGGCCTCCCAAAGTGTTGGGATTACAGGCGTGAGCCACCTTTTTTTTAAATATTATTTTCTGTCCTTTAAAATAACACAACTGATAACATTGCGTATATTCAATTTTATGACTCCTTTTTTTCATTGAATATTATAACACAAGACATTCCCCATATCAAGAGCTCCTCACAAAGATACTTTTAAATTGCTGCTTAATACTCTATTCCGAGGATATGCCAGGCATGATCTAATCATTCTCATATTAATCATTTTGACAGTTTACTATTTTTGCTGTTATACTTAAAACTGCAGTGAATATCATTGTATATAAAGACTCCTATTTTAGATTCCTAGAAATTCAATTCTGAGCCAAAAGCATGAACTTTTTAGTGAGAATTTTTTCACCAGATTATGAGGATTATGTTGGCTTACGGTAACAATTTGGCTCTATTTTGATTATTTTTCTTTAGCTTATATTTAGGGAAGCCAATTTTGAGTCCCTAAAACAGGGATATGTCCATAATCATATCAGTCAGAGATTATTGGAGTTGCTAGAAATGTAGGCTCTTCTCTTTTTTTGAGACGGAGTTTTGCTCTTGTTGCCCAGGCTGGAGAGCAATGGCGCAATCTCAGCTCACTGCAACCTCCACCTCCCGGGTTCAAGTGATTCTCCTGCCTTAGCCTCCCGAGTAGCTGAGATTACAGGCATGCATCACCACACCCGGCTAGTTTTGTATTTTTAGTAGAGACGAGGTTTCTCCACGGTCAGGCTGGTCTCGAATTCCTGACCTCAGGTGATTTGCCTGCCTCAGCCTCCCAAAGTGCTGGGATTACAGGCATGAGCCACTATGCCCGGCAAATGTAGACTCTTCTAATACAGTCACTCATTTTACAAATGGGGCCACAAAGGCTTAGAACATTTGAATGACCACCCAGAGTGATCTGGCATGTGAGTGGCAGATGCTACGGTGGAACTGAGTCTCCTGACTCCCAGGAGACACTCCTGTCAATCTTCTATTGACAGGGCATGAAAGGAAGATGAATCCCCAGAGGGTACATTTGCAGGAGAGCGGGATCCCAGGCAGAGAGAACAGTGGGTGAAAGACATGGAGGCAAGAGAGTTTGGAGCCTGGGCAGTGATGGATTGCCTGATGTGGCCGAGCCCAAGGCATTATGTGGTATTATAATGAGACATGAGTCTAGAAAGACACAGAGTAAGTCTTGCTGGCCGTAGCCCTGAATTTTATTAATTGTATCACTGTTGCTATTGTATTTATTTATTTATTTAGACAGAGTCTCACTGTGTTGCCAGGCTGCAGTGCAGTGGCGCAATCTTGGCTCACTGAAACCTCTGCCTCCCAGGTTCAAACGATTCTCCTGCCTCAGCCTCCTGAGTAGCTGGGACTATAGGTGCACACCACCACGCCCAGCTAATTTTTGTATTTTCAGTAGAGACAGGGTTTCACCATGTTGGCCAGGACGGTCTCGATCTCTTGACCTTGTGAGCCACCCGCCTCGACCTCCCAAAGTGCTGGTATTACAGGTGTGAGCCACCGCGCCCGGCGGCTATTGTATTTATATAGCGTTTTACAGTTTGAAAAAGTGATATGACATATATTAACTTATTTGATCCTCACCTCAGTCCTTCACATATAGAAAACAGAATGTTGTAAAACACTTGTCCAGGATCGAGCATACAGGGAGACTGGCACTTAATTAAATCTAATGCACCAAATCACATTATCAAATGTATCATTTCCTAATCCAGAGCCAAGATCAGTGGCAAAATTAGTAAGCAATTTGCACATAGACTATAGTGTTACTGCTTTTGTAGCATAATTTACAAACCTGTACTCTTGCTTTTTTCACATTGTCAATCTTGAAATAGAAAGTTGCGTTATTCTCCGCATTAAGCTTTGTGATGGTGTGAGTCAGTGTCTCCTCCAGCTCTGGGCTGTTGGTGGGTATATCTCTGGGGCAGCCCACGCAAATCTTGGAAGGTGGTTGTACAAAATCCTCCCCTGAAAGGATCAGGTTTTAAGTCAGCATGTACACTGAAGTAGCAGCCTGGCCTAGCATCCCTCCTGCACAAGAACCAGCATCCACATGTATAAAGGGCCACATGGGAGCCCAGGCCCAGTAGTGAGTGGGTGAAGGTTGTCTGTCTTTCACGTCCTGCCTCTCTTCTTTTCCCCTCCTCAGAGCACAGTGTATTTAGGGAAACATTTTCAATAGGAAGGTGCAAGTAACTCAATCAAAATGCTACACTTTTCCCGAATTTTTGCATTTTTGATGGAAACCGTAAAAAGCAATGCTTAATTTAAAGGAGTGACTCTCATGAGAAAAATTTAAGTGCTGTGGTTCTGGTGAACAGGCAGCTTCAGACTACTCATGGTGGAACGCATACAAGTGTTTTCTAAGTATGAGAAAAGCACACCCTTGTTATAAGAAACACTGACCTGACCACAAACTCAACACTATCTCCATTTCCTCCCATTATAACATGCAGGACAAAAAACACCTTAATTGAAAGGGTTTTATTCTGAGTGCTAAGAAATAAAATACAGGTCTCTCCAACTTACAACATCTGACTTAAGGACAACTTGTAGAGAAGAGAGACCAGTTGGCATTGTACCCAAAGGCCAACTTTACCCAGGGGTCACAAATTTCCCTTCTGTCTTCATAACCCATTCTGGCCACTTGCAGAACAGTCTGAGCTGCAGCACAACTGGGCAGGGAAGGGGTCCAGTGTTCTCATCAAGGCGTGCATCTGTGTCTGCAGGTTACACAGACTTTGGAGTATATCATGGGAGCCAAAACACAACTTATAGGAAAAGACCCAGCCAGTTGTCTGGGACCGCTGTTCCTCTATTGTGGTGCCAACGTGTGTTATTCCTTACCTGGATAAATGTCACACTTCTGTGAGAAGGAAGCAATTCGTAGCTGAGTATCGATGTATGCATCATCTGTACATTCACCGGTATCCTGGTTTTTAAAAAGCATATAAGTGCTCAGTTAAAAACATTTCTTAGAGTCAGAGTCTTTAAAGTAAACAACTAGTAAAATTGAAAAACAGGGATGTGTACTTTCCAAATCATTGCGTAGCAAAGAAAGAAAGAAACAAAACATAGTCTTACTGTGAAAGAGATACTAAAATACAGTTAGGTATTAGTATCAATAGCATCAACAAATACATGCATATACACAAGCACATGGAAAGCAGGAAATAAGATAATAAGAAGATCTAGTATAGAAATAACAGCCATGTAAGTAAAAAGGTAAATTTCTAAAAAAAGAAGGTAAGACTTTCAGACTGTTAAAACACCAAATCAATGTATTACGGTTTCAAGAATCATCTTATAATAGAAACAATGTATAGAGCTTAAAAATAAAAGATGAACAAAGCTATATGGGACAAATATAAACATAGCAGGAACTAGAGTATTAGTAATATTGGACAAAGTAAAATTCATGATAACGAAAACACTCATAAAGGTAGTAAAAATGATAATTTTATTTTTCAAAAGCATGGACTGGAAGGCATGGAATCAAAATACATAAAGTAGAAAAAATTACACATGTGAAGAGAAATGGATAGAAATAATCATGGTGGGGAAATTTAGTATGCAATTACAAATCTAAGAAAGGGCAAGAGAAAAAATAATAAGACCATAGAAGATTTGAATAACTTAATAGAGATTTATTTAAATGGTATTTTCATATGCTACATATGATTTAAAATACTTTCATAAGTATCATAAAATTTGTATGTATTTGTGTGTGTGTGTGTGTGTGTGTATATATATATATATTTTTTTGAGACAGTGTCTCTGTCGCCAAGGCTGGAGTGCAGTGGTGCAATCTTGGCTCATTGCAACCTCTGCCTCCTGGATTCAAGTGATTCTCCTGCCTCAGCCTCCCAAGTATCTGGGATTACAGGTGTGTGCAACCACACCCAGCTATTTTTTTTGTTTTTTTTTTTAGTAGAGATGAGGTTTTGCCATGTTGGCCAGGCTGGTCTCGAACTCCTGATCTCAAGTAATCCACCCACCTCGGCCTCCCAAACTGCTGGGATTACAGGCATGAGCTATCATGCCCAGCCAGTATCATACAAATATTGTTCATTGTTTTTATACCAGGTCACAAAAAGATTCAATAAATTTTACAAAGCATAAACAATACAGAACATGTTCTTTCACCTCAGCACCAAAAAGAAAAAATAATCTGTAAAAATTAATAGCATGTTTAAACAAACAAAAATGATATACTTGGAAATATAAACAAGCTTGCCAATAAAGTTAGGGTCTTTCTTGGATAAGGAAAAAAAAAAAAAACAACCAAAATAACAAAAATGAGAATTCCATATAATGTTATCAGAACAGCATTTTAAGTTAATTTTTGACTTGGCATGAGTTCGCAGTTTAAAAACAGCAGGAGAAAAACAAATAGAAAAACCTATGCCTACGTCTCCAGAAGTGAGGGGAAAAAAGAATAATAAACAAACATAGCCAAGTGCTGTGTGATAAATGTGATAAAACATGTATAGCATAAAATCTGCCATTTTAACCATTTTAAAGGATACAGTTCAGTGGCATTAATTCCATTCACAATGTCATGCAATCCATCACCATTTCCAAAAGTTTTCATCACCCCAAACGGAAATTCTCTACCCACTGAGCAATACACCCCCATTCTCTCCTCCTCTCCACTCACAAATTCACATCTACTCACTGTCTCTATGAATTTGCCTATTCTAGATGTTTCATGTAAGTGGAATCATACAATATTTTGTGTGTGTGTCAGGCTTATTTCACTTAACATCATATTTTCAAGCTTCATCCACATTGTAGCATGTATCAGAATTTCATTGTTTTTAGAGGGTGAACAGTGTTTCATTGTGTATATATATGACAGCACATTTTCTTTCTTTTTTTTTTTTTTTGAGATGGAGTCTGGCTCAGTCACCCAGGCTGGAGTGCAGTGGCGCGATCTTGGCTCACTGCAAGCTCAGCCTCCCGGGTTCACGCCATTCTCCTGCCTCAGCCTCCCGAGTAGCTGGGACTACAGGTGCCCGCCATCACGCCCGGCTAATTTTTTGTATTTTTAGCAGAGACGGGGCTTCACTGTGTTAGCCAGGATAGTCTCGATCTCCTGACCTCGTGATCTGCCCGCCTCGGCCTCCCAAAGTGCTGGGATTACAGGTGTGAGCCACCACGCCCGGCCTGATAGCACATTTTCTTTATCCATTCACCTGTTGATGGACAGTTGGGTTGTTTCGACTTTCTGGCTATTATGAACTTTGCTGCTATAAATATTCATGTGTAAGCATGTGTTTGAATATGCGTTTCCATTTCTTTTGGGCATATACCTAAGAGAGCAACTTCTGGATCATATAGTAATTCTATAGTTAAGTTTTTCAGAAATTGCCAAATTATTTTCTATAATGGTTGCAGCATTTTACAGTCCTACTGGCAATGCACAGAAATTCTAATTTCTCCATACCCTTTCTAATACTTGTTATTTTGTGAACAAAAAGAGGTTTTTTATATATTCTGCATGTTAAACTCTTGTCAGATACATGATTTGCAAATATTTTCTCTCATTCTGTGAGTTGTATTTTTACTCCCTTAACAGCGTTCTTTTTACTTTTTTCTCAATAAAATAAATGCATGCTCAATTAGAAAACTCGGGAAGTATCAAAAAGTTCCAAAAAATATAAAGAATCAGAAAAAGCGGCTGGGCGTGGTGGCTCACACCTATAATACTAGCACTTTGGAAGGCCAAGGTGGGTGGATCACCTGACGTCAGGAGTTCGAAACCAGCCTGGCCAACATGACGAAACCCCTATCTGTACTAAAAATACAAAAATTCGCCGGGCATGGCAGTGGGCGCCTGTAATCCCAGCTACTCAGGGAGGCTGAGGCATGAGAATCACTTGAACTCTGGAGGCAGAGGTTACAGTGAGCTGAGATTGCACCACTGCACTCCAGCCTGGGTGATAGAGCAAGACCCCTTCTCAAAAAAAAAAAAAAAAAAAGAAAGAAAGAAAGAAAAGAAAAAGCACCCACAATTCCAAATGAAAGTTAACTACATTCTATATTTTGTCGTAATTTGTTTTCCATTACTTTTTATATTCACATTTATTTTACATATTTAAATAAATCTGCATGTATAGCTTTGTGTCCCACTTTTTTTGTTTTTTACTTAACATTGTAACCATTTTACTATGTCACTAAAAATTAAAAATTTTTGATAGCTGTATCATGTTAAACTCTTGCAAATATTTTCTCTCATTCAGTGGGCTGTATTTTTACTCTGTATGGATATACTGTAATTTACTTAACCATTCTCTAATGTTGCACAAACAATTTATTTACAATATTTTTCTATTAAAAAACAACTGAAATTAACATCTTATGGTCTGGATTTCCCATATAAAAGAATTAGAAGCAGAATTACTAGATCAAAGGACTTGCAGCAATTCCTTGCCTAAAGCATAGTCTTCTGCTCAAATGCAAACATCCCTGGGCACATATCATGTCTTAGCCATCTTAACATTCACTGGCTACTACTACCTTGAGATACACCATTTTAATGTGATTTTGGTGCAGATAACAAGATACGATGCTAGGAAGGACCACTAAGGGCTAGAGACTCAGGGTCTGTTTATTAAAGATAAAGGTGGGGAAGAGAAGATGAGAAAACAAGCAGAGGAAAGTTTGACATGAAGAATAACCCTGGGTAGAGCAAGGGAATGCCATATGGGCATTGAGCACACGGGGAAGAAAAGGAAATAGGAAAGTGTGGAGACATAATGAAGATACACTTGACAGTTCAAGCATTTTGTCTATTCGTCGTCCCTGGTTACACTCTGTAAATACTTACTGCTGGCCAGGCGCGGTGGCTCACGCCTGTAATTCCAGCACTTTGGGAGACCAAGGTGGGCGGATCACCTGAGATCAGGAGTTCCAGACCACCCTGGCCAACACGGTAAAACCCTGTCTCTACTATAAATACAAAAATTAGCCATGCATGGTGGTTGGCGCCTGTAGTCCTAGCTACTTGGGAGGCTGAGGCAGGAGAATAGCTTGAACCTGGGAGGTGGAGGCTGCAGTGAGACGAGATTGCACCACTGCACTCCAGCATGGGGAACAGAGTGAGACTCTGTCTCAAAAAATAAATAAAATAAAATAAAGTTATAAAAAAATACTTAATGCTAGCTGTGCAGATTCTTTGGCCAGGTAGGTAAGGCAGCTTGACCAGTGATGTGAGCTTTAGGCTTCTCGAGTGAATGTGAATATGAATTGCTGAATGTCATCTAAAATTTTCGTGACGGTCTTCCCACTCAACTTGATAGTTACCATCAAAATGTAAACAAAATGCTAAGAACTTTATCATTAAATTTTTGCCCACTTACACCATTCCAAAGGGACTTGCAGTCTGGAGTTAAGAACAGAAAATTCTCTTTGGAACAATTCGTTTGCACAATTGAGTAGGTAATTAGAAAGTTCCATCCAGCCACCACCTGAAACAATTTCAGATTGAATATTTAAAGGGCGGTTTAAACATTATTCGCTGTGGGATATGAATGTTATGAGGAGGTTAGAAAACTGTGTGGCAATATAAAAAGTGCTCAAGAAATATAAATTATTATTATTACTAGGCAAAAAAATGCTGAATAAACATTGAGCACCTTAACACTCACATCTCTCACACAAACACACACACACTATACACACACACACACACACCACTAGCCATCTGAAAATGACAAGCAATATATATATTTTGCTATTTTTCAGCCAGGTTTGGAACATGGATTTCTTTAAGTAAATCCTAACAATGGTCCCCCTGCCAGGCTGCAGAGAGAAATGTTTACTGAATTTTATAAAATAATAATGCCCTTCTAGATGGACAAAGAAAACTTTGGAGGGGAGTGGTCTTTACTGCTGGGTCCTCAGGCTCCCAGGTTACCAAGTAGTAAGATTTCTCCTACTTTAGTCTGGGCCTCTCCCACCCTGATAGCTCTATATGGACATCATTGAGTAAAGCATGCTCACATGAAAGCAAGTTGTAAGGTTTATTCAATGCAGAGAATGTTGCTGACCAAAGGGAATCACTCATAATAAGAGACTGAAATATAAGCAACCCAGTCAACTATCAGAAAAGTCTGGGTGGGCCAGGCCTGGTGGCTCAGGCCTGTAATCCTAGCACTTTGGGAGACCGAGACAGGCGGATCACCTGAGGTCAGGAGTTCAAGACTAGCCTGGCCAACTTGGGGAAACCTTGTCTCTACCGAAAATACAAAAATTAGCCGAGTGTGGTGGTGGGTGCCTGTAAGCCCAGCTATTTGGGAGGCTGAGGCAGGAGATCTCTTAAACTTGGGAGGTGGAGGTTGCAGTGAACTGAGATAGCACCACTGTACTCCAGCCTGGGCAAAAGAACAAGACTCTGTCTCAAAAAAAAAAAAAAAAAAAAAAAAAAAAGGAAGAAATTCTGGTTGTCCTGAATCATTAAGAAGATTTGTAGCTGAGCACAGTGGCTCAGGCCTGTAATCCCAGCACTTTGGGAGGCCGAGGTGGGAGGATGACTTGAGGTTGGGAGTTCGAGACCAGCCTGGCCAACATGGTGACCCCTCATGTACTAAAAGTACAAAAATTAGCCAGATGTGGTGACGCGTGCCTGTAATCCCAGTTCCTCGGGAGGCTGAGGCAGGAGAATCACTTGAACCTGGGTGGCAGAGGTTACAGTGAGCCAAGGTCGTACCATTGCTCCAGCCTAGGCAACAGAGTGAGACTGTCAAAAAAAAAAAAAAAAAAAAAAAAACAACCAAAAAAACCAAACAAAAAACAGATCTATGGATATTTACTTTTTTTTTTTTTTCTGTTGATATGGGAACTGTAACTTAGTGGGTAGCCAGAAAGCCATGCCGACCGTTGTAGACACAATGTAATATTTTGGAGCTGTGTTAACTCATGATGGCTAGGTGATAGTAGAGTTTTCTGAAAATCCTAAGGCCACTATGACTTTCCTTTTCACTGTCTCTAGGAAGAGCCTGTAATGACGATTACCCATTTGTTAAAATCAAACGTCAAAGGAAGGGGGTCTGATTAGACATCTTTTCTCACTTTACATGTATCCAACTCACTTTGACTAAGGAGAAAGCCCTTTGCTTCCTGTGCTAGTCACATGAAAACACCACCAGCCATGCAATCATCCATTTTAAACATAAAGATCTAACACATTTTAGTAATACTAGGTGACCTAGAGAATTAAAGAACAAACCTGTCTTTGGGCCCGTTTTACTTCACTAAGCGTGAAGAGGGAGGAATGTTGAGTGTTGTTGTTGAAGTACTGAATGCCGTGTCTCAGAATGGGCTCCAGGTCTGGGCTCTGCGTTGATATAGGATGCACACAGCCGAGGCAGTTATACTGGGCTGTCACCACAGGGCCCTCGGCTTAACAAAGAACAGACAAAAACGCAGCATTAATGATTACAATCCGCATTCACATACATTGCCCTAAACAAAGAAGAGGCTGGGCATGGTGGCTCACTCCTGTAAAACCAGCACTTTGGTTTTACCCGCAGAGGCGGATAGATCACCTGAGGTCAGGAGTTCAAAACCAGCCTGGCCAACATGGTGAAACCCCATCTCTCCTAAAAATACAAAAATTAGCCGAGTGTGGTGGCGTATGCCTGTAGTCAAAGCTACACGGGACGCTGAGGCAGGAGTATTGCTTGAACCCAGGAGATGGAGGTTGCAGTGAGCCGAGATCAGGCCACTGCACTCCAGCCTGGGAGACAGAGCAAGACTCTGTCTCAAAAGAAAAAAAAAATTTTTGCAAACCATTCATCCCACAAGGGACTAACATCCAGCATATACAAGGAATTTAATTAACTCACCAATTAAAAAACCAAGTAGTCCCATTAAAAAGTGGGCAAAGGATCTCAGTAGGCATTTCTCAAAAGAAGACATACAAATGGCCAACAGGTATGTGAAAAAATGCCCAATATCACTAAGCATTAGGGAAATGCAAATCGAAACCATTATGAGATGAGCTATCATCTTACCCATTAGAATGGCTATTATTAAAAAGAGTTTGTATTAAATTACCAAGTAATGTTCATAACAGATAGCCCTAACCTACTGGTCAATAGAGGCAAAGTCCATAAAAAGGTAACGTAGCTGAAGAGTGAGCGGCACACCTGGAGGGACCCCCTGGGAGCCTGGGCTTCTTCACCCACCAAGCTCTCGCTGTTTGCCGTGTAAGCGGCAAACACAGCTAGGAGGGTATGGAGAAAAGGGAACACTTATGCACTGTTGGTAAGAATGTAAATTAGTACAACCACTATGGAAAATAATGTGGAGATTTCTCAAAAAATGAAAACACCAAATACCATATATCCAGTAGTCCAGCTACGGGGCATCTACCCAGAGGAAAAGAAATCAGTCTATCAAAGGGGTACTTCCACTCCCAGGTTTGTCACAGCAGTATTCACAATAGCAAAGATATGAAATCAACTTAAGTGTCCATCAAAAGGTTAATGAATAAAGAAAATGTGGGGGACCAGGTGCGGTGGCTCACACCTGTAATCCCAGCAGTATGGGAGGCTAAGGTGGGCAGATCACCTGAGGTCAGAAGTTTGAGACCGGCCTGGCCAACATGGTGAAACCCCATCTCTACTAAAAATACAAAAATTATCTGGGCGTGGTGGCGGGTGCCCATAATCCTAGCTATTTAGGAGGCTGAGGCTGGAGAATTGCTTGAACCCCAGAGGTTGCAGTGAGCCAAGATCGTGCCACTGTACCCCAGCCTGGGTGACAGTGCGAGACTCCATCTCAAAAAGAAAAAAAAAAGAAAATGTGGTATATATGCATAATGAAATACTATTTGACCATAAACAAAGAATGAAATCATATCATTTAAAGCCACATGGACAGAACTGGAGGTTGTTCAGTGAAACAACTGAAGCACAGAAAGACAAACTGCACATTGTTCTCGCTCATATTTGGAAGGTAAAACACTTAATCACATGGAGATAGAGGAGAGAAGAGAATGACAGATACCAGAGGCTGAGCAGGGCAGGGAAGTAGAAGGGGGAAATGAAGAGCTTGGTAAAATAGGTACTGAATTATAGTTAGATAGAAGAAATACGTTCTAATGTTATATAGCAGACTAGGGTGACTATAGTTAGCAACAATATATTGTATATTTCAAAGTAGCTAGAAGAGAGGACTTGAAATATCACCAATTCATAGACATGATAAATATTCCAGGTGATGGGTACCCCAAATACTCTGACTTGATCATTACATGTTCAACGCATGTAAAAAACACTCACATGTACCTCATACATATGTAAAATATAATGTATCAGCAAAAGAAAAAAAGAAGGAGAAGTTAATACATGTAAGGTGCTTCGAGTCATGGCTGGGACATAAGGACTCAATACATGTTAGCTATTATTTTTATCCTGATTGTTGCTAATATGTTATTATGATTAATATGTTAGTATGTTGATTGTACCTCCAGACATATCATCTCATTTCAGCCTCACGACAGTCCTGTGAGGTGGGAAGTACTGTTACCTCCCTTTTCTAGACAACGAAAAGGACAGCCAAGAAGGTGAGGAGCTCTGAAAGATTCCAGGCCAGGTCTGCCCTCAAAGCCTATGCGCTCCTCACTCTGGGATGCTGCCTACGATAGACGGCAGGCAGGTCTTGTGCCTCCTGGTCCTTCTGCAGAGCCCTTGCACATACCGGGTACAATGCAGCACACGGGAAGAGTTGGGATAGTCCTAAGGGGATGAGGGTCACAAGCCTGGCCCACCCTCCGGGCTCTGCCGCTCCACCCAATGCTCCCTAATTGTGCAAATGGCTTTACTACTGCCGCCCTCTGGGAGCAAGCAGAGCCTGGTCAAGGTTGTGTTCCTGGCACACAGAAGCAGTTAATTTCCCACCAGGGCAGTGCCAGAGGATAAACCAGCTACCTGGAGTAATCTGGCAGGTCTGGGTAGCCACAGAGAATTTCATACTCGCCCTCTTCCCCACGGTTGCCGTGCATTCTCCAGTGGCCTAAAAAGAAAAGAAAGAGATCATTTATCCTAATCTTTCAGATGGGAACGTCTACCTAGTACTGTTGCTAAATGTGACTTTCCTTAAAAAAACAAAACAAAACAGAACTTGTGAAGATTTTATCCAAAAGAGTTTTGAGACATGAGAATAAATGTTTTTTTAATAGCCTAATGATTACATAAGCCACTGATATTCATGAGATGTTGGAGGAAAGACAGTGTAAAAAGGTTTTAAAGGTTGAGTCTTTGTTTTGAGCCCTGGAGGTATTTCTTTTTTCTTTTTCTTTTTTATTTTATTTTTTTTTTGAGACAGAGTGTCACTCTTGTTACCCAGACTGGAGTGCAATAGTGCGATCTCGGCTCACTGCAACCTCTGCCTCCCAGATTCAAGTGATTCTTCTGCCTCAGCCTCCCAAGTAGCTGAGATTACATGTGCACGCCACCACGCCCAGCTAATTTCGTATTTTTAGTAGAGACGGGGTTTCACTACGTTGGTCAGGCTGGTCTCGAACCCCTGACCTCAAATGATCCAATAACCTCGGCCTCCCAAAGTGTTAGGATTGCAGGTGTGAACCACTGTGCCTGGCTGAGCCCTGGAGCTATTTCTTTCTAACCAAGATGGGTGCAGAGGTCTAGTACCAGCCTGGTAAACACTCCTGTTATCTACCTCTCAACTTTAGTGAGTTAATACTGTTCATATAAACTTCATTTTAGCTTAACAGAAAGGGCAAGGACCTTGGCATCAAAATGTTTTTCAGTTCCAGCCTTGTCACTTGCTAGCTGTTACCTATGTCACGTCCCGTTGACTCTCGGAGTCTCAGTTTACCCATCTTGTAGGAGATAGGACACATCTATCTCTTAGAGTTGTTGTGAACAGTATGTGTGCAAACACACGCTGTGTTTGCCTACTAGAGGCCCACCACAGAGCAGGCACTTAACAATAGGCAGTTGTTTAATTGTTATTGTTGAACACTGTTTTTGTTTTGTTTTGTCTTGTCATTCTTCAGTCATATCCATTAGATTCTAAGTGACAGATATTATTCCATCAGGATAGAGCACACCTCCCTTTATCCACACAGCTCCTAGAAGCAGGCAGCACAGGGCACAGCAGCTACTTATCCCCACCTTGCAGATGAGACGATTGAGAAGGGAGAACCAGCACTGCAAACTCCTAGACTCCTGACTTGGAGTTCAGTGCTGTTCGGTAACCGCAGATGACTGACAGTCATCTTTTACGTTCTGACATAAAAGAAGGGAATCAATCCATGAAAAACGAGGCTTGCTTCCGAGGCAGATACTGTCTGAAGTCTTCCTTAATTAAAGCAAAACAACCGGCTATGGTGTGCCAGGCCTATATGTTAGGCATTTGGTTAAGATAGGCATTGTTATCAAAGTTATTTGCATAATTCATCTAATTTCATCCTCTGACAACCTGATGAGGTCAGTATTATCTCCCATATACAGTGGAGAGTGCCAGTTCTGAGAGGTCACAGCTCACCCGCTATCACACAGCTAATGGAAGGCAGAGTCAAGATTTGCACTCAAGGTTGTGCAATGGAAGCACCCAGGCCCTCCCCTCGCCAGCCCTTCGGCTTGGCCCAAATGTCCATCTGTTGTCTCTCTGGAGTCTGAGCCACATGTTCTGACTGGACACTAGAGCTCCCTTCTCATGGAAAGGCTTTCTCCATGTTTAACTGCTGGCTTCTCCATAATTTTTCTCTCTATACAAGAACACAGATACAAAGCATCTGACTTTTCTACACATTAGAATGTTTATTTGCATTTCTCATAAACAGGCTCACCAGTAGTCATCATTTCTGCGGGAGTAAAAAAATCTGGCAGAGTCAACGGAGAAAACAGAAGGCCCAAGAATGGCCAATACACTTACCGCTTCTGCAGCATCCTTGTAGTCACAGTCCTGCCAGGTTTTGCCACTTTGAACAGGACAATCCCCCTCCTTGATTTCGTACTTGAAGGAATAAAATGTGTCAGAGCGAACCTGAAAAGCAGCCAAAGATACTTAGGGTTCATCCAACTGACCCGATAGCAAATAATTCTAGTGGGTTCCAGTAAAGTTAGGAATATTGATCTTTGACTTGAGAGCAAAGCATTCACTTAAAATATATTTATATTTGTATCATAAACATTTATGTGAAAGAATGTTTATAACATACTCACAATGTCGTTTTAAAGGTTACAAAGCAGTATGCATAGTATTAGCCCATTTTTGTAAAAACTGGTTTATATATAAATCTATGTTTTTTAAAAGTCTGGAAAGATGCACAGCAAGCTGTTAAAATGTTTGTCTGTCAGTGGTGAGATTATAATTATCTTTCACATTCTTCTTCAAGCAAACATTTCTAAGTGACCTTTTTCCCCTAATGAACATATGTGACTTTTACGAATTAGAAAAAGCAAACAAGAAAACCTTAAACAAATGTTAACAGTTATCTCTGTATGGTGGCATTAATTATGGGTGATTTTAGTACTTTTATTTGGTTTCTTTTGTTTCCTACTTTTTCTTTTTTAAACAGCTTTTTTGAGATATAATTTACGTGCCATAAAATTTACCCTCTAAAGGTATACAGTTTAATGTTTTTTGTATATTTACAACCGTACCCACCACAATCTATTGGGTACTACACCACAAATAAACTGTTGCTTGAGATTACCATGAAGCAGAATTTCTCACATGACTGTACTAGATTGTGAAACAAAATGGCTCAATTTTATTTTCAGAAAAAATAACATGTACACTGTGTTTATTTTCCTTTATCCCCATGTTGTCACATGGTTAGTTTTCTTTTTTTTTTCTGCTAAAGTAACCAATTGCTTAGCTGTCCCAGAGATGTCGTCTTTTATAGTGAAATTTGTTTAAACATGCTCTTGAAAGATTGGTATTTCTTTGAACCATGCATCCTGCAAGGATTTATCTCCTACTGGAGTACATCATTGCAATAATATCAAAAACAAACATTGCTGTTAAACCTGGTACATTCGGCCATACAGACTTCTGTCTAATTCCGTAGAATTGCACTAAACTCATTCCTGACTCCTCTTAGACATGACCCATTAAGTATCCCCTCCCATTTAAGGTTTGGAGGTCTATATTTTTTAGCCTAGGGCCAGAGACCCAGTGAATTCTTTTGCTGCAGTCTAACTAAATTCCTAAATTCTCCCACTCTAGTTGGTCCCGTTCGGATTTCTCCATTTACTTTTGTTTCATTTCACCCTAGATTCTATTTCTCTGATCAGGAAGCCAATCTGCCTGAGGACAAGTCATACTCTGCCCTCCCACCCCAGGCCAGAGACTGGTATCGGTCTTTCCACAAGTTGTAAACTTCTGCCTTTGATGATCACGTCTTTGGTGGTGGTGGTGGTGGGTGGTGGTGGTGGGGTGGTGGTGCTGGGTAGTGGTCGAATCGCTGGTGGTGTGGGTGGTGGTTGTTGTGGGTGGTGGTGGTGGCTGGTGTGGGTGGTGGTGGTAGGTGGGTTGGTGTTATGGGTGGTGGTGGGTGGTGGTGAGTGGTGGTGGTGGTCGGTGGTGGTGGTGGTGTGGGGTGGTCGGTCCGTGGTGTGGTGGTGGTGGTGGTGGTGTGGTTGGTGGTTGGTGGTGGAGTGGTGGGTCGGTGTGATGGTTGGGGGATGGTGGTGGTGGGTGGTGGTGGTGGTGGTGGTGTGTGTGTGTGTGTGTGAGGCCTGGGCTCCTAGTGACAGTACAAATCCCAAGTGACTTCAAGGTTAAACACAGTTCACTCACCATCTTAGTGGCTTCAGTTATGCGGTACAGTACGAACTGGTTGTTACTTTGGTTTTGACTGTTATATTTCTTCAGAGCAGCATCCACAGCTTTAAATAAATCCTTATCATTGCAGTCAATTTCCTCGGACTGTGATTCCTGGGTTAAACTTAGTAGCAGCCTGGAGCAGAGGAAAAGGATGATAATTAGTTTCATGATCTAACAGTCTCCCTCTAGGAGCTGAGGGATGGTTTCACCAAGAATCAAGAGCCAACTGGGATACTGAATTTGACAATCTCCAGCCTCTCGTTTTCTGTCCTCCTCTCTGCCTCAGCACTCAGGGCACTGGTTGGATTCCTGCTGCCATACGCTAGTTGCCCTGTTCCCAAAGGTTAAATGGCTCTGCTGGGTTATCCAAACATATTTACGGCTAGAACATTGCAACACTGGGGTTGTTAACCTGCTCATTTGCATTTGAAAATCACGAGGGAGCACAGTGCATATTTCCAGGTGATTACACAACTTTATGTAGCAAATCAGAGCAGAATGTGATGAAGGAGGGGAATAAAGTACTTACTAACTCGGTTATTCCCCTGTGACTTTCACAGAGCCATTTGTGAAGGTCACTACATGGGTAAACAATGCAAGAATGAGTACAATGTGCAGACATGTTTCCTGCAGAATCTCTTTGCAGGATACCTACCTGCATAGAAGCAGACTGCTATTAATTCTATTACATGCCTAAGAAGCTCATGCACAGGGGCAGCCAGTGAGTTCCGGGAGTCTCATGCAGGATGTTGACACAACTGAAAATAAAACATGGGTGTCCTATCTGGTCTCTGGACAGGCCAGCTTTTTTCTGCTCAATTGCATTAGTTCTGTATACACTGCAGTCTATTTAACTTTGCATTTTCTTTTCTTTTCTTTCTTTTTTTTTTGAGATGGAGTCTCACTCTGCCGCCCAAGCTGGAGTGCAGTGGCGCGATCTCGACTAACTGCAACCTTCATCCCTGAGGGTCAAGCGATTCTTCTGCCTCAGCCTCCCAAGTAGCTGGGTGTACAGGTGCACACCACCACACTTGGTTAATTTTTTTTTTGTATTTTTAGTAGAAACGGGGTTTCACCATGTTGCCCTGGGTGGTCTTGAACTCCTGACCTCAGGCAACCTTGGCCTCCCAAAGTGCTGCGATTACAGGCATAAGCCACCGTGCCTGGTCTGGCTTTGCATTTTCTAAATGCATGACAAACATCAACCAACTGGCAATATCTCTCATGTCTATTCCTATTCTCATTGCCCTAATTCCCACTGCTCAGGTCTGGTCCTCATTCCTGCATACATAAGATAACTTCCAAGTTCATGTCTCTGTCTCCTGCCTCAGTTTCCTCAGGCACACTGGGGCCTCTCCCGCTCACCCACTCTGTGTGCTAGCTCTCAGAGGTAGCTCTGTGCTGACGCAGGCTGTGCTATAACCTGGAGCAGAGTCTGGGATGGGAGTAAGGGTCACTGAATGGAATCCTAAATTCCAGCACTCCTGTTCTCTGCAACTTGCAGCGCTCCCTCTGTGATACATTAAGAAGGGTACATTGCTTTGCAGTACTCCTGCAGTACTCTGTAGTACTCCTGGTCTGTCCTCCTGATTTCAGTTGTTTCACCAAAGAGGGAGTAGTTTATTTTGGGAGAGAGGATGGAGACTTCATGTCTTTCCATAGTGTCTATCAGCCACTCAGTCCACTGCAGGTAAGCAAGTAATCGAAGTGAAAACAGTAGCCTTGCTTTGCCTTAAGATGAGCCCGGAGGCTCACCTCCCAAATAATGACAGCTCCAGAGCCCACTAAGAACTTCTGGAACCCCCCTGCTTATATTCACTTGTTCCCCAACACCCTTCTTTCTGATTCTCTACTCACCTAGAAGTAGTGGTGCCAGGAATTCACCAGGAATGCCTTTACCCAGACCCTCTTTCTATGCAAATCCTACCCATGTGTCGCTACCAAGCTGAAGCCTCCCCACATGCAATCCTTTTTTTTTTTTTTTTTTTTGAGAACGGAGTCTCGCTCTCTCGTCCAGCCTGGAGTGCAGTGGCACAATCTTGGCTCACTGCAAGCTGCGCCTCCCAGGTTCACGCCATTCTCCTGCCTCAGCCTCCCAAGTAGCTGGGACTACAGGCGCCCGCCACCGCGCCCAGCTAATTTTTTTTGTATTTTTGGTAGAGACGGGGTTTCACCATGTTTGGCAGGATGGTCTCAAATTCCTGACCTTGTGATCCGCCCGCCTCGGCCTCCCAAAGTGCTAGGATTACAGGTGTGAGGGCCCGCGCCCGGCCGTATCTTCAAGTCTTACAAACATAAAGGTTGAAGTTTCGTTGTGTTAGGATCTCTAACTTGTCAGTTGATTCTCCCTGGAGTCCCTGGAGAGGGGTCAGTGGGAGCAAATGGGACTATTGTAGGGGTGGGGCAGGAACATCAGCTTGCAGTCAGTCCAACCTGGATTCCAGTCTAGCTCTGCTACTTACCTATGTGACCGCAAGCAAGACAGGGTCACATAACCTTTCTGACCTTAAGTTTCTCACCTGTAAATGGTAGAAAATCATAATATTTTACCAGGGTGTTTTTGAGAAGTGATGAGGTAATATTAATATATGTGCAGGGCATGGTGATTAGTTCTTATATTAGTTCTCCAATGCTAGGGAAAGGTGTCTAAGAATCCTTGCCTGACTGAAATAGGTTAAAGTGCATTGTCATGGGAGAAGGCAGATTTCAACGGGGACTTGTGTGGAAAATATGAAAAATGGAAGCGATTTTGCGAAGTTCCGAGGCAGAGAGGAAGGAGGAGAAGTAGAGATGCAGAAGCTGGAGACTGGGAGGATGGGGAAATGCATGAGGAGCTCTGTCCAGGGGGAAGTGGACAGGAGTGGTCGAGGCTGACCAGCAAGTGTGTTTCCAGTGAAGGCTCATGAACAGGCCAGGCGTGGTGGCTCACACCTGTAATCCCAGCACTTTGGGAGACAGAGGTGGGCGAATCACTTGGGGTCAGGAGTGTGAGACAACATGGCCTGGCCAACATGTCTACTAAAAATACAAAAATTAGCTGGGCTTGGTGGCGAGTGCCTGGAATTGCAGCTACTTGGGAAGCTGAGGCAGGAGAATCTCTTGAACCCAGGAAGGGGGAGGTTGCAGTGAGCCAAGATCACACCACTGCCCTCCAGCCTGGGTGACAAGGGGGAAACTCCATCTCAAAACAACAACAACAACAGCAACAAAAGAAACAGGCCTGCGCAGCATCTGCCAGCAGTGTCAGCAAGAAGACAGCGTGTGGCCGTGGTGGAGGCCAGTCGAGGTTCTAATCCCAGTCCCACTTTTCTGACTGTAAGCCTAAGCAAGTAATTCAACCTCTTTGGTTCTCCTCTTTCTTCCCTAAGAAATGGTGATCATGCAGCCCATTTTCCCACCTATGTCCCTTTCCTCCTTGAAGTACAGGCAGACTTCATTTCCCCATCTCCCTTGCGTTAGGTGTGGCCATATGACTGAGTTCTAGCCAGTGAAATGTGAGCATGAATCATGCATGTGCCTTCCAGGCCTGGCCCACAGAAACCACCTTTCTGATCCTCCAGTCTCCCCCGATGTGGGCTGGATGCAGAGGATCCAAGAGACAATTCTGAGGCCAAGGGGAAGGCAGAGCCACAGACAAAAGGGGCCTGGCACCCCAAATCACCATGTAGATGACCGCCTGCTGATAACCCATATTGACCTGTAACATGAGAGAGAAATCAAATTCTCCATCCTTAGGCCACTGAGTTTGTTTGTTCCAGCAACTGACCTATTTTGATACAATGATATTTTCTGTATAAGGGACTTGTTGGTAAAGATGAAATTACAAAACAAAAAAATATTCAGAATCATAATAAATTTTTACTGTACCAGGTCATTAAATAAACATTTCTTGAACCCTTAGTGTTTGGGAGGTGCTTTAGTGAACAAACCAGACAATGTCTGTGCTGTTATAGGGATGAAGAAGAAGAGAGAATCAAGAAGTATTTCTCTGCTATAGGACGTAAAGAATAGTTGTGCCACTGACAGCAAGAGTGATGGTAGGAAGTGGGACAAATTTTCTAGAGAAGAGTGAGGCGATTGGGCTTTAGACATTTGAGGAGGCAGTTATATTCCCTCTATGAACATCACCTGTGAAAGTTTACAGAATATTTGCAAAGATTCATAGCCTTGTTAGCCATGATGACATACAAAGTCTAGAAAGGCAAGGATACATGGTGTATTGTCTAAAGCCTCTAGTAGAACGTATGCTCTCAGGGTGGGAATGGTTTCTTATCCCGTTATTCCCCTGCAGTATTGGGTGTGCATGTGAAGAATGCATTTAATTGAAATGAATTGAGAACTTCAACTCCTCTGTATTCAAGGTAATATTGTCATTAATTCAAGCAATGTTTATGAAAGTACTTTGTAAATTATTGAACCCTACTAGTGCTTCTGCAGGAGGATACATTCCGAGTTATTAACTTCTGTATCTTTTGTCCTCCCTGGTTCTCACCTTTCTCTTCTCCCCATTCAAGCAGCTGACCTGGTGTCCATGCCTCCAGGAGGAATGTGATTTTACAGGGCCACATTCAGCTGCATCTGTCAGAGTGGCCACACTGGTTGTTTATGGATGGCAGCTATTCTGATTCGTTGTTTTGTCTGGTCTGATTGGTCAGTGCTTGTTTCATATTGGTTATGCAATACTTTGAGTATCACCGTTGTACTTGGAAGGCATAGAGAATCTGAATTCTTTTAGTTTGTTTCAAATGATTGAGCCCTGATTTGAGAAGAAAATGAATATTTCAGCATGGAAAAAGAGTCTTCTGGCCCTAAAAATAAATAAAGTGAAGTCACCTGAGACTAGAAAGAGAGCCCTTAGCCGAGGAAGAAGATATAAGAAGAGCAGCGGGCTCTGGGGTCTTTGAAGCAGAGAACACCTCTGCCCTGCTTTCTGGGCCTGTAGCCAGGAAGGCAGCAAGAAGCCAGGAGAGAATAGTAACATGCCTTACCTTAGCAGTCACGTCCATTGCTAGTTACAGACGCTCCTGTATCCACACTTTGCTACAGAAGTAGCAGATAAACAAGACTCAGATAGTCACTACTCAGGGTGGTGGAGTGGTGACTATCCCTCAACAGGGGCAACTGTTGGGCTCATGATCAAGGATCAGACCTCCTTCTGGTGGTCACTACCCAGACAGCTTGGCACTGTGTGAGATTCTAGAACTGTGGCCCAACTTTGTGCGGAAAATAGCAGGGCAGGGCAAGGAGAATCCAAGAAGGCCTGGGGTTAAATTTCCCACTAGGCTAGTAGGATGGCAACCTGAAATTGAAATAAATTTGTTCTGAACATAAAGTGATATTTCTTGTGAACATGAATTTATGATCATGATTTATGCCAGCAAACTTCTTTGGAATTTATAGCCAGAGGTTTGTTTGCTTCATGATTGAG